AGATGCAGGCCAGGCTGGGGCCATTGGATCTGTGAGTTGCCTTTGAGTGAGGTAGAGGCTTGAGAAGGGCAAACACCCTGCTGAGGACACCGTTAGGGCCACGCACCCATGCTCCTGGTCGTGGGAATGCTCCATCCAGAAAGCCACTACTCGGTCCAGCTCCTGCTCCATACGCTCCTTCCAGGCTCGCAGAGTCTCCCACTCCTTTTCCATGTCCTGAAGGGGGACTCAGGGGTTGAAGGCACAGCGACCCAGGAGGATTTCCCAATCCCCCTGGGTCTCAGTTTCCTCAGAGGACTACAGTGGACCCCAGAACTCCGTGACTCGTCCCCCCATAGAAGGCGAAGCTCAGACACAGCCTCGGGGCTTCCCCACCACTACCTCTGTGCTGAACTTCTGACCCCACCTCCGCTGGGGCCCTCTAGGACAGCACCTCCCCATCAGTCCCACCACTAGCCTGTTGCACTCGGAGACCCCCGCTCATCACCCTCTCCTCCAGGAAGCCAGACGGAGCTGGTAGCGGTCCCGTGACTGTCACTCAGCTGACCGAGCTGTGCCCCACTCTCCCGCCCCTTCTTCAGGTTCCGCTGGGCCAGGGGGCGGGGCCTGAGGCGGGGGCGGGGCCTGAGGCGGGGGGCGGGGAGTAGCTCCGCCCCCGTGCTCAGCCCTGAACGACCCTTGGGCCTGCGATGGCTTCTGCTGCGCACCCTCTGCTGGAGATCTTCCTGGTGGGAAATGCTGCATGAGTTGGCAGGACAGTCTGGGACGATGGGGAGGGCAGGAGTGGGGTGGTGGGACTGGGTCTGAATGGAGTGGTGGTCTTGGCAGGTGTGCGTAGCTAGGGTGCAGCAGGAGAGGGGAAAACTGGAAATGCCTGAATCCAGAGGCCCTTCTGACCTGTGACCCCACAAGGTAGACAAGTCCTCTATTGAGTTAGTTCTCTAGCCTTCAGCAGTCAGCAATAGGCAACTATTGGTGCTTATTTCCCTCAAGAAATGCTGCTGACAGGCTGGACGGTAACTGTGAACAGAGCAGGCATCCGTCCAGCTTCCTGGGTCTGTCTTTCAGCCACCCAGTCTGTTTGCATTGTTCAGTGACCTACCCCATCAGGTGCTCCAAGGAAAGCTGACTAAACTGTTCTTCACTCTCCCTGCCAATTGGCCAGCCTCACTGCTCAGTAGAATTATGTGGGGAGTGTGTGTGTATGTATTGGGGGAAGGGGGTTCCAGGAGCCAGAATGTCTGGGTTCCCTGGGCCCCTAGTGTGGTTGAGGGAGCTTAGACATTTTCTGGAAGGATGGATTGCAGTCCAGGAGCATACGTAGGTCTCTCTGCCTCATTGATGCAGCTCTGGGAGATGGCCAGCATGGAGAGGTTCCAGTCCTTGAGCATGACGCCGTACTGGGGCTCCTACTGCTTTGTGCTGGCCTTTGGTGTCATGGTGGTTGTTTCCTTCCAGGCTATAGCTACTTAGCTCCTGCCACAGGCTGATTCTCCCAACATCAGTTTCTCTTTGAGGTGCTTGGGAGTAAGCTTGGTCTTGTGGCCAGCAGGTGGCTATCTACTGCAGCTGTTCTATGTTCACATCTCAGTTTTAGATCATGCTTGGGGAACCCTGGCTTTGTACCCAGAGTCTTGTGTCCACTTGTATCATATCAGTTCATGTCTTGCCTCTCTGTACATACTCTCTTCCTGCTCAGCCAAGGGCAGGCCTTGATATATGGAGGGTTCTAGATTTCTATGGGTGGTCTATGCCTTGGCCACTCCAGAGGTGGAGAACTGGAAGAACTTCTGTCCACAGCCCGGGAGCAGGGCAAGATGGGGCCGTGCTGCCTGTCCCTGCTGTCTCTTCCACAAAGCTGAAAAGTGGTGGGCTCAGACTCAATCCCAGTTTAAGACCAGCACCAAAGACACAACAGGTATGGCCCTTGCCTTCTGGAGTGCAATGCAAGCTGCCGTGAAGCAGGGCAGGGAAGGTGGAGGATGGGTGACCCCACATGTATGGGCTACAGGAGTGGGATAAGAACCCTTGCAACCCTCCCAAGCTAAGCATCCACAAGTCCAACAATTACATAGGCCCCTCCCCTTCTGAGGCCAGCTCCACATAGATCCTTCACCCCAGCTAGCTGGTGCTGTCCCATCCCTGGGCATGGGTCCCACAGTTCTCCATCTGAATTGCTTTCCCACCCCTCTCCTGGGCCTCTGCCTGGTGAAGCTGCTCTTCTGAGCTCCTCAAGGTGCACATGCTGGGCTCCAGATTCCACCTAAGGTAAAGAAGACAGCCATGGCCCCTAGTGTCAAGACCAACAGGTTAGGTGGGTAGACATGATGTCCCATGATAGGAGATACTTTAGAACCCAATGGTATGAGCACCAGGGACAGAGCTTCCTGGTAGAGGTCCATTGCATTGGGCCTTCATTTGTCACCAGCATGCACCAAATGCACATACCTGTGCACACAGGAGTGCCACAAGCCAAGAAATAGAGGCAAGTTTTGGTGCCCCACCCAAGGATCTTTTGGTACCAGAGTGGGTGAGAGGAAAGTTGGCAGCAGAGGTGTCAGAGAGAAAGTAGAGAATGCTGAGGAATCATACTCTCCACAGCTCCTTTCCCAAGCACAAGCCCCAGGACCCGGGCCTGCAGCAGGGGCCTGCCCTACCCCAGGCTTTGTCTCCTTTTTGATTAGCATTAAGCATCCATTTAGTCCATCTAATGCTAGATGTACTGTCAAACCCAGATGCCAGACTGTCACTTCTATAGTTTTTCCTCTTCCCCTTTGAGGACCTCACTTTTAAGAGGAAGCTGAAGAGGATTCATTCCTGCTTCATAGAGTGCCCACCATGTGCCAGACACATCTGTCCTGTCGGGGCTGGCACTCTAGGAGGCCTTCTGGTGGTCCTGGCCTTCAGTGAGATGCACATAGGAGCTGCAGCTCAGCTCCTGCCCTGCGTCCCATACCAGGGAGTTGGCTGCTGGTATCATGCTCTGGTGTCATCTTGTTAGGGAGAGAAGGTGATTTGGCCCCCAGACAAAAGGCATGGGTAACAGTCGCCTATGGGCCCCCTGAGACCTCACCCTGTATGGCAGCTATTATGCAACCTGCTGGTTACACCAACCTAGTATTGTTGTAAAAGGCAGCTCAGGACACAGTGGGGGGTCCTTGCTCTGCAACCTTCCAGTTCAGGAGAACTGAGAAGCGGAATCCCTTATCTACAATGCTTAGGGAACAAGAGGCCCCCAGGTGGCTCAAGTGAGCCTTGGGGAGGTCCCAACTTCCCCCTCTTCCACAGGACACGTGAAACCTGGACACAGTGAAACACCAGATGGTTATTTCAAAAAAAGTCTTTTTAATTGTTCAAAATAGCACAAAACGACATCGCACTATGGTAATATTGAGTCACAGGGGTTACTCTACAATAGATGAACGGGTGGTACTGTTCTCAGAAACAAGAGAAATCAAAGGGCGTTTGGGAGAAGGAACAGGGGTAAAACAGTGGGACCAGGCGAGTGGGCTCCAAGGTGACTAAACGTGACATTTTCCACAGCGAAATATACTATAATACAACAAACCAGAGGCCCCAGAGGGTGCAGGCCAGAGGTGGGAGGGGCTACCCTTTCCCCTCCCACATCTCCAGAGATGGCAGGACTGAAGATTGGCTGCTCATTTTAAATCCTTCCATGACCTGTTTGCAACCTTTCCTCATCACCTAAAGCCTGGGTGTGGGGCAGAAAAATCCAAACAGAGCTCTAACTCCCCAAGTCTGGCCCTTTGCAGGGAGGATCAACCTAGTCTGGGGATAAGGCTGCAAAATTCATGGAGCTGATGGCCAGTGTTGTTAGCTTCAAGCTCCCTCTGGGTGACACAATGCACTCTCCTGCACTGGAGAAAGGCCTCTGAGGACACCTAATTCCCATTCTTTCCCTTCAGTTCAGAGTGTCAGTCTCTCAGACAGTAATGCTGGAGGTGGGCCCACTCTCAAGCTCCCTCAAGCCTGACCTTGTAGGTGTGAAGTGCTCACCCATGGGGAGTAAGGTTTGACAGCTCACCCTTCCTTTGACCTAGAGGCTTGGGGACAGGCAAAGAGGCAGAGGGCCGGGGCTAGCAATTGGAAAGTTGGGCTGGGTATTGAACACCAGTCCCATGTGGGAGATTCCACACCTATCCTGCCCCAACTGCCCCCAACTTTTCCTCCCGAAAGATCCCTGCCAAGGATTAGCCAAGGAGAAAAAAAGTTGAAAAAAAAAAAAAAGATAAACATTCTGTACACAGCTAACAACAAAAAGGGACAAAACCCCACACGCTAAGGCTAAAATTACAATAAAAATGTTAACTTCATCAATTTCAACTTAAAAAAAAAAATACAACAAATGCAGCAGTTGGTGATGTGGCCCCAGCCTCAAGCCAGGCAGGTCCAAAGCCAGGCTTGCCAGGGACCACTCCATGCCCCATTGGGAGATTTCAGGATTTCACAGCCGCTGCTCAGGCTACCCAGGGGGTTCTCCTTTCCCCTCCTTCTATTTCCTTATTTTCTCTTTATAAAGGGGAAGGGGAGAAGTGGGAGCATGAAGGCCTCAGGGAAGATCTGTAAGCTTCCTGTGGGCTCGCTGGGCGAGATAGGACTGGCTAAGCCTGAGGAAGGGATGGGAGGTGACTGGAAACACAAGGGTAACAAAATAAAATAGAACCAGACAGATGATGCCCAGGAAAGTCTCTCTGAGGAGGGACCCAGGGGGTACCTTTCCTTGGCTCCTCTACCCAACCGCCACCCAGAACTTGGCTGCCCCCTCAGGCCAAGGGTGAAGAACCACACACGTGCAGGCTTTGAAGCGAGGGTGATGTCTATCTCCTTTGAGTTTCAATTTCTTTCCCTCAAAGGCCTCTACAGCCTGGGGGCAGGTGCTGGAGGGAAGGGGAAAGGAGGAGCGCTACTCTTCTGCTCCTGGCTCACTTATCACTTGCTGCTCTTTCAATCTGCCTTCTGCTTCCTCCCAACAGCAATGATAAAATGTGCTTTCTTTATTGTAAAAACAGACAGAAAGAAGGAGCATGAATGGTGGCCAGTGGCTGGTGAGGGTGAAGTGCGAATGCCGGGCAGGCGGGGCAGGCAGGGCAGCCCCTGATGGGTGGTTCCTGAAGCAGAGGGGGTCTGGAGAAGAATCCAGGTGCTGGTCAGCTTACTTTCACTGACCATCTGCCTTAGATTTCTTTGGAGCAGATTTCCTTGGAAAATGGAGTGGGGGGGGAGGGAGAGAGAGAGAGAGAGAGAGAATGAGTGTGTTAGGCTCCAAGTTGGAGTCAGCAAGATCAGCAATATTGGACACCTGGTGGATCCAGTCCCAAGCCAACTGATGAGAGGCTGAATCTTACTATTTCCGCCCCCCACCTCAGAGTGTTCCTGAAAGGGACCTTCTGCTTACATTTCCGGAGAGGACATAGGCCGCTTGCTGGCCGGCTTGGTGCCTGAGCTGTCTTTACTGGTTTCTAAAAGGAACATGAGATGGTGAGCAGCCTGACAAAGAGCACGGAATACATTTGTGATTCACCCCCGAAAAGCCCTGGCCACCTCTCTGCTGCTCCTCAGGGCTCAGAACTGCGTACACTCCCCTCAGATCTCCCCAAGACACAAGCCAGAGGCCCACTGGGCTTCAATCTTGCCTCTCTTGCTGCTTTCCCTGCCCTCAGAGGAGCAGAAATACTGCCCTCTGATGGCTGCCCACCCCACCCCACCCTTGCCCCCCAACCACAGGGCTCCAGACTCAGCTTGGGCTCTCTACTTTTGGTAGCATGCTGTTCTTGGACCTAGAAATCTTTGTCCTTCCCTACCATCCTACACCGTTGTGCACCCATGTTGTAGAACTCCCAAGTCTAGCTTGAAGCTGGGGCCCCCTGCCCTACTCACTGCCTACCCCCATGGGAGCACTGTACATAGCATTAGCAGGAACAACTAGGGGAGGGCAGGACACACAGGATGAAGAGGGGACAACATCTGAGAAGAATCCTATAGTAGGTCAGTACCAACCTCCTGCTGTACCCAGCTTAACCATAAGCTGCCCCAAGAGCTCCACAAATGATACTTACCTTGCAACCACCTCACTTGTGTGGCTGGGCCATACCCCTTCTCATTGCGGGCAGCGATGCGGAAGATGATGGCGGGCTTGGTGGTGTAGTCAATGTGGGCATTGGAGAGACTGGAGGACTGCACAAGGCAAGAGGGGCTGGGCCCGCAGTACACTCGCATAAAGGCCAGCTGGGCTGGGGTTGAGCTCTTGGGCTCGCCGCCAGCCTGTGAGCTCTGGATGGCCAGGTACACAGAGTACTCGATGATCTTGCCGGAGGTCACAGAGGGCGGCTCCCAGGTGAGGTGAGCACCGTCTGGACTCTAGAAGCCAGGACAGAAGGTCAAGCTCTGCCTTCTTCAGTCACTGAGGTCTCAGCCCACCCGGCCTGTCCCCAGAACAGGGGGCAAAGAAGCCTGCAGTACTGATTGCTCCTACCCCAAGAGCTTTTTTTCCCCCTAACACAATAGAGATATTCCACATCAGAGATCAAAGAACTTTAAAAGAGATCTGCCCCGAAGTGGAAAGAATAAAAGGAACTGGGACTCAAAACAGCCTTCCTGAATCTACTACATAATGTGTGACCTGTCACTTTGCCTCTTGATGTGTCAGTTTCTGCATCTAAGAAACGGAGCTATAATAGCAAGAAGAGCCACACCTCCTGGGGATGTTTTTAGGATAAAAGACATATCGAAGAGCAGGCCTGGTGGCACATGCCTGTAATGCCAGCTACTCAGGAGGCTGAAGCAGCACAACTTGTAGGCCAACCTGGGCAACTTAGAGAGACCCTGTCTCAAAATAAAAATAAAAAAGGGCTAGGGATGTAGCTCAATGGTAGAGCCCTTGCACAGCATGCATAAGGCCTCAGGTTCAATCCCCAGTACTATAGGAAAAAATAAAACATGGAGCAGTACAGACAGCTTAACACAGAGTGCCTGCTCAAGGACACTAGCTGTCAGGCTACAGAGAAAGAAACTGAGGCTAGGGAATAGAAAGGAACTTTACCTTGTCACCCTGGCAATTGATGACACAGGACCAGAAGCCAGAGTCTTAGCATTCATTACCCACCAGGCAGCAGTCTCTGTCCACCAAGGGTGGGCCCGGCTACCATGCTCACATCTGTGTGCACCCCCATCACCACCACCACCACCACCACCACCTGGGTCCTCTGCATGGATCGGGAGCTCTGTGCCTGTGCACTCAGCCGAAATTTGCTCTGCTCCCAGCAGGCAAGGGACCAATGGTGGGGACAGGCCACCCCACAGGGAGACTCACTTTGCTGATTTTAATGGCACAAGGGGCCCCTGGGAAACCAGGCAGACATGTCTTAAAGGCTGAGATCTCGCTGAAGGGCCCCCGGCCACAAGCGTTGATACCAGCAACACGAAACTTATAGGCTGTGCCTGGCTGTAGCTCCTGCTTCTTCAGTTGGTTATAGTCAGGGACAGTGCCCGAGTCATCCTGGGGAAAGAAAATGTAAAAATCAGATGAAGAAAAGAGAAGAAAGTGGCATGAAGCTCATTGCTAAGAAGTTGGCCCTGTGGGCTGTGGGTTAAGCTCAATGGCAGAGCATTTGCCTAGTACTCAAGGCCCTGGGTTCCATCCCAGCACCACAAAAATTAAAAAGGCAGCTAGGGGGTCAGAAGAGCAAATGTCCATCTTGTGAACACTGTAGATGCATGAGAACTATGTGATGAAGGGGAATGAGGTCACCAATGGCTGCCGCTATGTGGCAAGGAGGGATATGATGAGGGTGGCTGAGGTCAGGCACCATCAGGAAAGGACCAAAAGTTTTCACTTTCTTATTGCCTCAGGGGGAAGGATCTCCACCTGGCCATCCTCAATGTTTACTGACCACTCAAGTTGGAGAAAAGATAGTTTCTTGTGAGCCTCAACTCAGGGCAGCAGAGCCAAATCTGCTTCTAAATACTTGCCTCACGGCCAGGATCCACTCACCCAAGGGTGCCAGCTCTTGGGGACACTTACATCTGATGGGACAGCATCATCAGGTGGCAGGAAATAGTGAGTCACCATCACATTGGTGCCCTTAATGACCCCCACATCAAACCATTGGTTCTCCTTCTTCACAGGGGCTTTGCTGGGTGGTGGTGGCAGGTCTGGCTTCTGGAAAATAAAAAGGGAGATGAGATCAGGTCCTTAGCCTTCAGGGTCTGGAGGCAATGCGGATCCCTGTCCCCCAGGGTCCCATCACACCCAACTCACCACACCCAGGGACTCTATGCCATTGGCCACTTCAGTTAGGGTAGCTGCAGCCTGTAGCTTCGCTGGGCTAGCTACCACAACTGGCTGGGGGGCCACAAAGGTGTTGGACGGAGCCAGGCCTGGGAATAAAGAAGGTATCAACAGCAAAGGTTCTGGAAACCTGACTTCTCTGCAGGGCCTGGACCTCCTGAAATGGCACCCTTATGCTACCCTCACCTCCCTGTCTCCCCCTGGCCACCTTCTACCCACGTACTCTAGCACCAATTTACCCCCCAAATTTCTTTCCCAAAATAACTAAGCTCCCCAGGGGTAGGGCTCAAAGCCAAGGCAGGGCCCTGCTTACTCTCAGTGGCTGTTGAAGGCAGCAGAGCCACGGTACTGGGGACAGCACCAGCCAGCTCATTGAGGCAGTTGCTTTCGATGGTTGGGTCATTGAGGCTGTCGGCTGGGGCTAGGGCCTCGGTAGGGAGGTGGTGCTGCTGCTGGGCCTGGGCCTGGGCCTCCTGCAGCTGCTGCTGCTGCTGCACCAAGGCAGCCAATTCCTGCTGCGTCAGCACAATAGGGATGGTGGTGGCCTGGCCCTCCTGGCCCTCGGCTGAAAGGTGACCCAGCTCTGCTTGTGTCACAGCTGCTGCCGCCTCGGATGTGTCCATGGGCTCCCCGGTGCCTGCTCCAAGGCCAAGAAAAATACTACTCACAAGGAACGCCAACATGCTTGGCCCTATGGACAGGGATGCTGTCCCTAAGGTAAGAGCTCAGAGACCTATTTCTCTGATGGTTTTTATCCCACCCATACCCCACTGTGGGTTGTACTCTGGCCACTGGACCCTGCCTCCTTCTCAGTTGTCAGCTCCAGCCTGCCTGGCCAACATAGGTCTCCCCACCACTGGCCTGTCCAGGGTCCACTATACCACTCTTGCAGGAAGTGGGCCTTCTCTCCTCAGCTGACCTACCACCACCTGTCACCTCAGCCCTCTATTTAGGGCTATCATTCCTCATGAGGAGTCTACTTTCTCTTGGGACTCCTGGTTAGCACCTACCCATGACAGCCTGCTGTGCGGCCTGGAGCACTGCCTGGATGGCCAGGGCCTGGGCCTCCTCGGTGGCTGCAGCCTGGGCAGCTGCTTCTGCAGCAGCAGTCACTGCAAGCTCCTCAGGGGTGAGCCCTGTTACCATGAGGGTGGTGGTGCCCGCCTGGGCCTCAGCCATCAGCTCTTGGGGAAGTGTTAACTGGTCTACTTCAGACTGTGTGGGCTGGGGTGGCTGGACCACCACAGTGGCCACTACCGCTGAGCTGGCAGGCTCCTGGCCTGAAGATGGGTCCCCTGTGCTGCTCAGATCCACGGCAGTCTGAAGCTCAGGGGTCTGGGAGGCTGACAGGACCTCGGTGGACTCCCCCATCAGGGGTGTGGAGGAAGACTGCAGGAGTTGCCGTGGCGGCAGCTGCTGGCGAGGTCCTGGTGAGACCTGGAGTTCCTCTGGGGGCTGCAGGATGTCAACAGCAGAGAAGGGCATGTCAGAAGTTTCTGTGTTGGCTATGGTCACTGTTATCGTGGCTGGGATGGGGACTTCGGAAGTCAGAGCCCCTGGGGTAGTCTCAGTCAGTGATGAAATCTTCTAGAAAGGGAGAGAAGCTCCCGTCAGAGGTGGGGAGGGAAGCCAGGACCCAGTAGTGAGGCTAAAAAGCAGGATAGCCTTCATCTTTCCCTTTGGGCCTATAGGGTCACTTGTGATGGGCCATCTTGACCCCATGCTAAATGGGAATGGGGACAGTGGGTCATCAACCAGCACAAAAGGTACAATGAGAAGGGTAGACCCTTGAGACCCCCAGGTCAAATTGAATTAGTCTTCAGAGAGGCTTCCCAGTATATAGGCAAAAAAAGCACTCAAACCCCCACCATCTCACTTTTATAGGCTACAGTGAAACCACAAGCGACTGGAAACAGCTACGGAGACAAAGCGCCCTGGAATGGCTGAGAACTGTCGGACAGCTGCCTCCTGCCCATCAAGTATGGAAGCTGCCCTTTTACGGTCTGGAAAAGGAACCAGGAACAGCACTGTGCCTGGTACAAGAGCGACATCTGGTGTCTGACTCTGGAACAGCACGGGCCAAAGGGTACAGTGGATGAGGGATCCCTTCTGGCTCTTACCGGCACGGAAGGGCCTGGAACAGGTGTGGACTGTGTCACGGTGGTCACTGCCCGTGGCAGCGTGGAGGACACGGTTGTTGTGATGGCACTGGAGCTGGCGATGTTCACACTGTCACCCTGGGTGCTCTCCACTTCTCCCTGATCACTGGCAGCTGGTGGGGGATCTGTGAAGGCACAGGCAGAATGGTTGGCTTCTGCTTGGCTTTACCATCATAGGCTTCTGCTGTCCTCAAGGGAGGACCAGAGAATGAGACAGTATCCTGGAGACCCCCTATGTGTAACTTGACACATCAAAGCTCTCTCCACCTCACCCCACTTGCAGATTGATTGCCATAGCATATTGGTCTCTGGACATAATTTTGTCACCTTTTTTCTCCTCTGAGCCTTGGGGTCTGGGGGATATGAACACAAGGACAAATGCCTTCACTCACCTTGATTTGAGCTCATGTTGGAGGTGACAGTGGTGGCTGTGTGTGTGGTGCCCGTCTCGTGGGTCTCACAGGGGGGGTTGGAGCACACCCTCTGTGTTGGGAAAGGAGCCAGCAATGCAGCACCAGCCTGGGAGGTGATGGTGGGCACTGCTGCTGCCTCCAAGCTGGACTCCAGGGTCCTGTGGGATGGGGCAGCATCAGGGAGCAGGGCACCCACGCTGACTGACATGGTGGTGCCTGTGGAAGTGGTCTGGTGCGTCTCACAGGGTCGGCCAGCAGGGGGCTGCTGCCCACCCTCGGGCTGGCCTGCCCCCCCATTTGAGGTGGCAGTGGTGGCCGTGTGTGTGGTACCCGTCTCATGGGTCTCACAAGGCGGGTTGGAGCACACCCGCTGGGCGCTGCCTGCATTGGAGGTAGTGGCGGTGTTGGTGGTGCCTGTCTCATGGGTCTCGCATGGCGGGTTGGAGCAGACTTGGGTCACTGTGGATGAGGGGCACAGCAGAGCCTCCAGGGCCGTCACAGTTACAGTGGTGCTGGGTGAACTGGTTTGGAGGCTCTCGTATGCAGGTGTGGGGACCACACGAGCTGCACTGGGCTCCCCAGTACCTATGATGGAGCGTGCCATGGTGGGGGTGTTGGTTGTGTGTGTGTGATGCGTCTCCAACTGGCGCCCCAGGAGCACGTCCTTGTTGCTGGGGCCACTTGGCCCAACTTTACCACTCAGAGGGGCCAACTGCACAAAAGCAGGGCTGTGGACCCCAGCCTCCAGGGCCAAGCTTGGCCTCAGCAGGGAGCCAGTTGAGCATGGGGCCCCAGTGGCCATCACAGTCATGGTGGTGCTGGTCGCACTGGTCTGGCGGGTTTGGCACTGGGACTTGACAGAACCTTGGGCTCCCTCCAATGCCCCAGGAACCACACTGATCCGGACCACAGTGGGAGTGGTAGAGGCACGACGGGTATCTCGTTGCTGGCCAGCACCAATGCTGGACATGGCCGTCGTGGCGGTGCTGGTGGTGCCCGTCTCATGGGTCTCACAGGGTGGGTTTGAGCAGCCATGCTGCCCAGCCATGTTGGAGGTGGCTGTGGTGGCAGTGTTGGTGGTTCCTGTCTCATGGGTCTCACAGGGTGGGTTCGAGCAGACGCGGACCACACTACCATTCTGCTGCCCCACAGTTGAGGTCACAAGAGAAGCAGCTGCCTCCTGCCTATCACAGACAAACTGCACTTGGGTGGGCTGGGGGTGTCCCCCAAGGTTGGCCACAACAGTGGTGGTGGCCGTGTTGGTAGTGCCCGTCTCGTGGGTCTCACAGGGTGGGTTGGAGCACACCAGTGTCACAGTGCCAGGCTGAACATCACCCTGGCCAGAGTCGGCAATGGTGACTGTGGCTGTGGGCTGCTCTGTAGTAGGTGAGGCCAGAATGGACACAGGGAGATCGTGCACAGGCTGGGCCTCGACCCCACTAGGCGCTGTAATCAGAGTCACCTGGGTAGGCTGAGAGACAGGCTGGGGGAGATACAAAACCAAAAGAGTTAGTATCATGAGTTACATGACTTCCCATCTGTCTGTCTCTCCCATCATCCTACATTATCACCCATGCCAAATGGGACCACAAACTCTCCTCCTAACCAGCCCTGGCAAATCTGTCTCCCCTCTGATCCCAAGAGGCTGACTTGATGAAATACCAGGGAAGAGTCACTGCTTTGCCTCAAGGGCAATTCAAACTAAGGAAGGGGTTGTGAGACAGGACCAGGACAGGAGAGGAGGCTAGAATAGAGTCCTTCTCAGGGAATGTAATCCCTTGATGATGTACAAAGGCCATCAAGAGATTCCTCACTACTTTTAGAAATCCAGCTTAAGAAAACGTACGGAGAGAAGACCAATACTACAGGCACATGAAGATGAACTCTATAACATTATAAGAGAGTAAGTATCGGCTCAAACAGGAGGTCTCACCACAACAGACTATGAACAGGACTACACATCAATAAGGAAATCACCCCACGTGCTGGAAAAACGCCAGGGCTGCACAACTTCTGGAAAAGGGCCTAGTCCTCCCACACTTTTCACCTGGGTCACTGCTGTGTGCGATGGCATATCTTTGGGCCCCACCCTACCTGCATGGTGATGGTGGGTGTGGTGAGCCCGCCAGCAGCCGTCAGTGTGGTCTGTGCAGCTGACACGGTAATGGCGGTGGGGTTGATCACCTGGCTCGAGAGGGTGGCGATGGTACCCAATGTGGTGATGGGCGTGGCCAGGGAGGCGCTGGTGCTGTGGCCCCCAGCTCCAGCAAGGCTGGTGGAAACAGTGCCCGTCACCGTGCCTAGGGTTGTGACACCTAAAGGAAGGGAAGCAGAGATAAAGTGTAGCCTGCTGCTACCACTGCCTTTCCAGTAGCATCTCTCCATGGATGGGGCTAAGGGACCAGGAGCTCTGGAGTGCAGCTACTGAGGACCTGCCATCCTCCCCCAGCTGGACTATGGGGAGGTGGCCACAGGAAGCCTGTAGGGATGGAGCCCAGCCATTGTTGAGGCCCTAGCCTGTGGGCTACACACCTGTGGTACCCTTCACAACCAATGTGGTGACGGCTGGCTTGACGGCAGAGACGGTGACAGGGGTGACCAGGCGAACGCCCCCCATGGGCACGGTGCGGAGGATGGTGCCTGGCTGTCCAGGGGCCCCCTTTAGCACCACCTAGAACACCAGAGCAAAGCGCCACCAACATCACTCCCAGGCTGGCTGGACTGTGTTGCCCTTCCCAGACCTGTCAGGAGGACATGTGTGCCCTGCTGGGGTGGACTACACTAGAGACCAGGGTGAAGAGAGGGTCATGTGTACCTTACCTGTGTCACTCCTTGCTGCCCATGGCCAGTGGCAATCTTGGGGACAGCAGTGATGATTTTAGCAGGTGCTCCAGTTCCTGAAGTCATAACCTTGGTGGTAATAATGGTGATGGGGGACTTGATGCCAGGACTACTAGTCACACCTGCATAGGAGACACGGGGATGGGGGTGGGGTGGGGGGTGGACACGACACAGACATGACATGAGTTCTGTGAAGACATCCCATATCCCATCTTCCTTGGGCCCCCTTTTAATGCAGTCCCCTCTGCAGCCCAGGAGATAAAAGAACTACCAATCAGAATCAGATGCCTGCCAGCTCCCTACAAATCTCAAAAACTAACAAAGCAAAAGGATGCAGGAAAGGGGAAACCAAAATCAGGGTCCACAGTGTGACTGCCCCCCCCCTTCTTCCTCATGACAGGTACTTGTCAGCAAGGACCTTCAGGAACCTGTGTCAGGGATACCCCTACCTGTTGCGCCTGCCTGGGTAATGATGGCGGACATGGGGATGGTCTTGATAATGGTGGTCGTGCCAGGTTTGGTAGTGCTGGGGGAGACACTGCTGATGCCCAGGATGGTGGGCTTGGTCCCTGCTCCACTGGCCTGCGTGGTGGTGATGATGGTGGTAGGTTTTCCATCTGCTGAGGTCACCAGCTTCAGGATTGTCCCTGCTGGCAGGGGTCCTTTGGTCTGAAATGGGAAGCAAGTATGAATGGGTACCACTATAGGGAAAGAACGTTTGCTTTGGCTATTCTCCAATGGCAGTCTAAGTAGTCCAGGAAATGTTTTGCAGGTGATAGGACTGAATAGCAGGACTCTATAAGCAACACATACTCCTGAAATCTTCCATGAGCAGAGACATTGAGTTATCCTCATGGCACAGCACCTGTTCTTGCCTATGAGGCTCTGAGTCTAGGGATCATTTTCAGTAAACACTAAGAGCTCACCTGGATGATCTGAGTTACAGGACCCGTAGATGCCTGGCCTGTGACTGCTGAAGTCTGAACTGGTTTGGTCTGGACCACTGACATCACTTTGCCCAGATTGGAAATCTAAAAAGGAAAGGATGGAGCAGGGAGTGATCCAGAAACCAAATAAGGGCATGGCCTGGACTGGGACTCTATTGGAAGTGGACCAGGGGCAACAAGTCACCCCTGGCAGCCACCTTAGTCTGGCAGCTGTCACATGCAGCCAGGTGGTGCCCGTCACTCACCAAAGCACTGCCTCCTGGTACGGAGATGGGGCTCTTCACAAGGGTGATGGTCTTGGTGACCCCACCTACAACTGTGGTCACCACCTGGGCTTGCTGGGCCACGGTCACGGTCCCTGACTTGTGCACCGTGATAATAGGGCGGGTAGATGTGTTAGCGGCAGAGGAGACTGATGTCCCCACTTGGGCAGCTGCAGTCTTCAGCATACGAGTAGCAGGATTGCTCACCTTGAGGGACAAAGATGTCTGTTGAGCAGGGTAGAGACTGAGCTGCCATTTGGAATGCCCATGGCTCTACCTCTGATGCTCACCACACTTCATCCCCAGAACAAAATAGAGAGGTTTACTTTTCCTTTTAATGATGCTAGGGAGCAGCCTGAATGACCACATGTCTATCCCTAAGGCTGTAATACCCCCAAAAAGTAACTGCTTATGCCACAGCCCACACCAGTACCAATTATGGACCAATGGCCTCAAGGGTTGGTCAAAAGCCCAGAAGAAGTGACTGCTGTTTTATGACAGTGACCAGAAACGCCTGGCCCTGTGGTTGCTGGCTTATAACCAAGCCCAGAAGACAGATGCTCACCATGACGGGAGAGGAGGCCACCTTCACAGTGGCTGGGAGGGTGGTCGTGCCAGGTGTCACAGCCACAGTCTTGACGATGGTGGTGCCCGCTGGGACACTCAGCACTGTAGGCGCTGAAGAAGGAGGGATTTTCTGGGTGGCAGCAGCAGCAGCTGCCAATGCGGCCATTCCACTCATCTGCGGACTGCTACCAATCACCTGTGGCAGGCACAGGGCACGTAAGCCATGTGGCACCACCTGCCTCCCTGGAACCTGCCAAGGGACTCAGCAGCATCCCTTAGCTTTTCCTACTGCTGGCCCCTCTCTCCTAGCCCCAAATAAGAAAGATCGCCACCAAAAAGCAAGCACAGAAACCCCTGTGGCAGGAATTTGCAAGGCACTCTGGATCCTTAAAAAAAAAAAAAGACAACAGAGTCAGTGCTACTGCACATGCTAACATGCACAAGGCCCCGGCCGGGTTCAATTGCCTACAGAGTCAGATACACCTCACTTCTTATGGGCCTGGGTCAGACCCAGCTGGCCACATTCTCCCTCAAGCTACAGGACAAGGAAGTCCACGTTTAAAATGCCCTGAGGATCACAAAGCAAGTTAGGTTCTTTTGAAGCATTAACTTATTAATTCTCAATCCTGCCAGAAATCTCACCACCAGCATTTTACACACAAGAAAGGCATATGATACATGGTACAGGAGCCAGCTGGGATCCAAACCCATCAGAGCTCTATTTATTCTACTTGGTCACCAGAAAGTCCCGCTCCCATTCCCTTAGCCCTGCCCAGTGACAACTCCTCACCGTCCCCTGGGCACTCTGTGTGGGCACAACCATTCGCACACCGGCAGGCAAGGAGGTCACAGTGACAGGGGCTTTCCCAGCCTGGCTGGCAGGCCGCATTGTGACCAATGGGGTTCCTGTTGTAGCCTGAGGACCAGTCACTTTGAGAACAGCAGGGACACCTGATGAGAGAAGGTGTTGGCCATCAGCAAGTCACCTTCCACACAATGTCCCAGGCCCTCTGTATTTCAGTACATAGACCTGAACTACTCCTAGACCGGTCTGTGGTCTGCGGTTTGCTTTGTGTGTGGATCTTCTGTGCCTTCTGGCAAGTTCTCTGCAAGCAGGATGGAGCTTTCTCCTCCCCCTCATCCCCTTGCCCAAAGTCAATGGCTACTGGGCTGCTATTTAACAGCCCTCATAAATCAGGGCAGTGGCTCCTACTTAGGCACTGAAGGTCCCTAGGGATATGCCCCTGACCCTGCAGCTTACCTTGAGTCCTGGCTGCAGTGGGCACAGAAATGGAGCTCCCTGGCACTGTCGGCAAGACCTGGATGGTGGTGGTGGTCGGGGGCGCGGCGGCAGCCTGGGGCAGGAGCGTGATGCCTACTTGGGTCAGCGGCTGCACAGCAGGTGCGGCTGCTGCTGGGGCAGGGCTCTTGGGAGGGTTGGCAGGCACAGATGGGACTGGATTGGGTGTGGGGGAGGTGGCAGTAGCAGCCGTGGCAGGAATGTCATATTTCTGGAGCTGCAGAAGGTAACTGTCGGCTGTTGCCACTGCCCCCCAGCTCACCTCCAGGGAGTTGGTGTTGGCTCGTACCAGTTGTACCCGGGCCGGGGGTGGTGGCTTTTCTGTAAGAGAACACAGCTTCTAAGATGAGAGGAGCGGGAAGCTTTAGGAGTGGGATTGGTGCCGACCCGGAAGAATGGTGCCTTACCTGTCTCCAAGTACCAGAGGTCCTTGCAGCAGACCTGGTTGTTCCAGGCCTTCCGGTAGCCATCGCGCCCACTCCAAATATACAGGCGGGTATTGATGGCAACTGCACAGTGGCCAGCTCGAGCACGAGGAATGTTGTCCTCCAGTGTGTCCATCAGGATGGTCTCCCAGGCCATGGTATCTAAGGGTTGGCAGGTGCTGGAGGTTAACAGGAAGGGTAGAGGAAACCCACCCTTTCCCAATTCCCAGCTGCCCCTTGTCTTTTTATTGTTAGGGATGGGGAATAAAAACCAGAAAATTGTCAATGCACTAAATTAAGAACAAGCAAACTCCATACACCAAAAGCACCATTTAAAAAATATGATGCTGGGTGCAGTGGTGCACACCTATAATCCTAGTTATTCAGGAGGCCAAGACAGGAAGACATTCCAAGTTCAAGGCCAGCCTGGGCAACATAGCAAGACCCTGTCTCAAAAAAATAAAAAAGGCTAGGAATGTAACTCAATGGCAGAGAATACCTGGGTTCAATCCCCAGTAGAGAAAGAGAGAGAGAGAGAGAGAGAATTGTTAGAAAACTATAAGTGAAGGTTTTGAACATCAAATAACACGTGTGCCAGAGAGAGATAGAGACAAGGGGGACCACGGTTTATAAGAAAAATTGAATAGAAAGGCCTTAAAACAAAAATGTACCCTTCAGTCAACATAAACCACACAGTACCTGGCAGTTTGAGTTCTGTGCCCACTGCAACTGGGGCTCAGGGTGAACCGATGCCAAGGGGTGGCCAGTGGGGAATTCCTGCCACCCAGCAGGCTGGCAGAGTCTGTATGCTGACGGCCAGGTTCCAGGAACTTGAGCACCACTGGGGTTATCTACACCGATATAGCCAGAGTGGTGTGGCAACATCTGATGGCAACTTTACCTCTAGACATTTTTTTTTTCCTTTGAGATGGGGTCTCACTATGTTGCCCAGGCTCAAGCCACTCTCCTGCCTTAGCTCTGGAGTAGCTGGGACTACAGGCACCACATACGCCTGGCTACCTACCTCTAGGTGTTAATTACTCTTTGAGTGCACTTGCATTTGGGTGAAAATGGTGAAAGGATACTCATAGGAGCAGCATCACAAGTTTTGGCGTCACAATAACAATTCAGAAGAATGCAGCTGCTTACTGTGAGGGGACGTGGAATGATCTCCAAAATGAAAAGTGCCAGTGCAGCCCTGTGTACAGCAGGCTACAGACCTACAGTTACTGCCTTTGTGTGTAGAAGAGTCCCTGTAGAGGGGGCACAAGAAACCACCCATGTGGCTGCCTGAGATGTGGGGAGGCTCTGCACCAAATACACTTTCAGATGTCAGACCATGTATGTGATGAGACTATTGAAATAATAAGAGAGAAGAGCACTGTTTTGGAGCACTCCACCCAATGGGTACTTCTAGTGGTTTCTAAAAGGAGCCATGGGCCCAGCCTCACTCCCCGCACACCCCACACAGCTCTCAGGGCTGAGGAGGGTTAGCCTCTCCCAGGCCACTCCAAACCCGAGGAGGCCATACCCAGGTTGAGACAAGCCAGCGTGTTGGTACACTTCCACTCCTTCTCGTGTGTGGCCACTTTGACATCATCCATGACGAGAGGCACCCAGCCACCAAACACATACATTCTGAGAGGAGGGAGGGAAAAGCAGGAGAGGATTGTAGAGGAGATGCCAAGCTAGAGGCCACCTCTTCTACTCTGGAAGTTCCAAACATACTCAGTCTTCTAGATCTCCCCAGGAGTCCCCCAGGGCGCACAAACCCTTTAGATAGCCCTCTCCTACCTGGTGGCTCAGTTCTCACAAGAACTGCGTCACCTCTCCAGCAAGAAACCACTGTTTTGCTCATCTAAGACTCACCTTAGTTTCCATCGTCCCTAGATTCCCCTTAGGACCTTGGCATTCAAAAAGATAGCTACTTGTGGGGAGGATCGGCACCTTTGATGGGATAGAGCCTCACAGGCCCAAGAAGGGTCTCAGGCTGAGTTTTGTGGGCAGGACCCTCCATACTGAATTTATCTTCTCTGGATCCCCCAGGGTTGTAAGGGAAAAACGGGGCTACTCAATGCCAACCCAGCCAAGAAGCAGCCTCCTTGGGCCTTAGGGACTGTCACAACAAAACTGACCAGGAACCCTTCAGAGTGAGAACAATTCCAGGCCAGGAAAGAGGAAAGTAGCCACTCACTTGTTTCCTATGGTAGTTGCAGAGTGAAGACTGCGAGGAAGGGGTGCCACCCCACTGAGACTGGGCTTATTCCATGTCAGCGTCTCTGCAAAGATGAAAGAGAAAGGATTATCCACACTGGACCAGACACAGAGGATATTCCCTGGACTTGGGCATGGCAGGTGTGACCTAGCACAAGAACTGCATCCCTGACCTTACTATATATAGCTCACAGAAGGCCCTCTGATTGTTACCCTAACAGCCAGATTCTAGTATTTTCAAAATGATTCTGATAACCCCAGGAAGACAGTTTCTTTCAAAAAGTATTGAGCACCTCCCATGAGGAAGCAATGCTTCTGGAGCTGGGAAAGGAAGGCTGAACTCCCCCTTCAGCCACTCTCACTTCCTACCCTTCATGGAACACACCATCATACCACCTTAATGCTCTACAGACTGTATTTTGGCCTATGCTGATGTTTCTCTCACACTGAACCATTTGAGTACTGAAACACAACCAATACCTACTCTCCCATTGGCAGACCTTCCAGAAATCTGTATTTGGCAATCTTTTCCTAATCACCCCTGATGCCACCACCTGGCTACCAGACCAAGTATCCCCCAAAAAGCTTAACAGTCTATGGACATCCAATTTTACCACAACAGCCAGACTAGGCTGCATTAGTCACATGTAGACTAACGACTCTTAAGTCAACAAGCACTAATGCTACCCAAATCAAGAGTAATTCCAATAGAGAAAAACCTCAGTCTCCTTTCTTATTCTCCTAAAGCTAGCTAACAAACTCATCAGACTAAGCCTTACCTTCTTAAAAAGAATATCACCAACACAGGACAAAGATACCGGCTCACAAACCTAGGGACTATCAAGTGTCCTACCTTCACCCTGTCATAAGGAGTGCAAAGAGCTAAAGAGGACACCACCTCCCTGTGAGCCCCACCTCCCTGTATGATGATGGCAGCCCAGACCAAGTCTATTACAGCAGCAAGGGCTTCCTTTTTTTTTTTTTGAGAGAGAGAGAGGAAGAGGGAGAGAATTTTTTTTTTTAATATTTATTTTTTAGTTTTCGGTAGATAAAACATCTTTATTTATTTATTTTTTATGTGGTACTGAGGATCGAACCCAGCGCGCCCCGTGCATGCCAGGCGAGCATGTTACCGCATGAGCCACATCCCCAGCCCAGCAAGGGCTTCTTACCAATATCCAGGGTCCAGAGATCTCCTAGCCTGCAGCCACTCATCCCTCCATAGATCACCAATTTGGATTTCTTATTGTCTTTTTCTGTGTAGACCACAGCAGTATGTGACTCTCGAGGTGGAGGCAAGACTCCGTAAGTGATGGGGATATCCCAGGCTACCACTCCAGAGCCTGGCCGTAATTCCAGGATATATAAGTCATTCAGGTACCTGATGAAGAAAGATCAGTTAGTGAGCCTCAATTCCACATGCTAGAGGCCTCACTGGGTACATATCAGTGAGCAGCAGACTCTTGGGAACATAAAGGGGGCAAAGTCTGTGTGAACTCCAAGTTGTTCTTTTACCCTTGCCCTTGAGGAAGGTGCTGCCAAAAGCTTCTGAAGGCATGCCTAATTGGAATAGCGGGACAGGGTGTGAGGCCACATGGCCTCATCGAGTTCAGACCCAGCAGCAGGCCCCTCCAGGCTGCTGAGCTCACAAAGCTGAGCATTATACAGGGCCTCCTAGAGCAAGAAGGGGTTGTTGGCCTGGGACTACCTCCAGACAGAAAGGCCCTTGGCCACAGGCCTTGGAAAATTCCCATCAGGAAACTTGTAGGCAGTGAAGGATGAGAGGGAAAGCACCAATTCTAAACTGAGTCTGAGGTACAGGGACCGGCCTAAGGCAAAGCAGGCTTCCACCTCCTCCCATGAGGCCTACTCATAGTTTCAGATATCAGAGTAGCAGAGTTCCTCAGAGAGCATTCAGTGCCAATCTCTCATTTGACAACCCAGCGCAGGAAAGGCACAATGCTGCAGGGGGCTTAGCCGGCCTATCTGACTTTAGGATTCCAGAGAGCCCTCTATCTAAGCAAGCAGACCCACCCTGGTGGAGTTCTATAGAAAAAACAAGTGTTTTTACCTTGGAATGTTGTTCTTGGGGTCCTCGCTATCGTTGGCCAGACCCCCAAATAGGTAGCATTTGTTGCCCACAAGGGAGAAGCTGTGCCCAAGCCGAGGACATGGAGGGGGCCCGTTTTTGGGCGTTTTTGCTTTGAGTCTCTTCCACTCCCACCGGCTTGCCTGCAAAAACAAGACTTGGAGAATAACTCCTGGGATAAGAGGCCTCAAGTAGGGAATCTGGGGCAATTTATGGTGTAAAGAAGAAAAGATCTCCTCCACTGCCTCGCTCATCGTAAGCCCCCAAGCCACCAATGTAAAGGAGCAGTATAGGAGGTCATATGGAGACTAGAAGGCAGTGTGAAAACATAGGTCTGTGAAGAAGGAAGGTCCCAGGGGCTCTATACCGTTACCTGGAGCTCGTAGAGATCGTTGCTGTATTTCCCGTACTCCACCATCCCACCAAACACCAGCAGGCGAGTACCATCACATACGAAGCCATAGGCAGCACACCCCGGAGGGATGTCCCCTCTCACAGCCGGGATGAACCACTGGTTGGTTGCTGAAGAACAAAAGAAGTAGAAGTCAAAACACCCAGAAGCTTCTAGAATCTGAGCCCGATTCCTCATATCCCCCAAGTTCCCCAACCTTCACGTATAGTCAGAGAAAGGAGAGGCTGAGCCAGGATGCTATCCCTTGGGAGCCCTATCACCCTGCACCTACAGTCACTCTGGCCAGGCCATCTGCCAGAGCCCGGGACTTCAGATTACTACACAACTGCCTGTGACCATCCTGCTTCTCATCAAGGTCATCTTGGCAAGCAGGAAGTCACTGGCCAAGACAATCCATCAGCTTCTGGGAATCTGGGCACTGACTTTTCCCTATCACTAGCAGGATCATCACAATAAACTTCTGTACTCAAATGTTCTCTCTAAGCCCCACGCTTCTCCTAGAAGCCTACATTTCTCTCCCTGCACCACAGGGTCAAGACAGCCAGAACCCATGGCTGTCTCTTTGCAATAAAACAGCAACTGCTGCAGGCCTATGCCTCCCCTCTGTGCAGGCAGGCGAGGGAGGCCACAAACCAGCCTCAGCTAGCCGGCAGGGGAGAGATGGGGGCAAGAATTGGTCTCTGCTGACCTCCCGGGCCTTGCTGTCTGCTCTGACTTCCCCGCTGTTCTCGTCTCCTAGGTGATGGTCCACAGGCTCAGTGGCAGCGCCAGTACCCCTCCCCCACAACCACGCCTACGCCTATGCTGCTCCAGAACATTCTCAAGCCAGAGGTGGCAACCGCAGCAGAGCTTCTATGACAGAAGCTTCTCAAAAGCCCTTCACACTTCTGGCTGGGGGTGGGGGTGGGGAGGCTACCAAGAAAGAGGGCAAATCAAATCCCATGCACTGCTTGGATCCCCAGTGCATAACAGAGTCTTGAGTGGAAATGTGCTTTTTCCTAGACTGCCTGGTTTGTCTGGCTCCTCAATTCAGGCTCCCATGTCCCCTACATCTGTGGTGTCAGGACTTCTGAGAAAGTGCTGGGGAGCTGGGCACAGTGGCACATGCCTGTACTTCCAATGACTCAGGAGGCTAAGGCAGGAGGATCACAAATTTGAAGCCAGCCTCAACAATTTAGTAAGACCCTTCTTCAAAATAAAACAAAAGAGCTGGGGATATAGCTCAGACATTGAGTACCCCTGGGATCAATCCCCAATACTGGGGGCAGGGAGACAGCAATGGGGGAAATATCCTTCTACTATGACTTATTAACCAAAAGAGGCTGTCCCTCAGAGAATATATCAATCTCTCTCAAACGCCAAACTGAGGAATAGTTGTAAATCTGATTATGCGCCCCAGTCAGATCTCAGTTCCAGGGAATCATCTGGACAAAGGCTGAGTCAAGACTGTTCCCCTAGGCAGAGTGTGGTGGTTCAGGCCTATGCCTCCCCTCCGTGCAGGTGGTGGTGGTGCATGCCCGTAATCCCAGTGAGTTGGGAAGCTGGGGCAGAAGGATCACAAGTTCAAAGCCAGCCTCAACAACTTAGTGAGACCCTGTCTGAAAAAAATTAAATTTAAAAAGGCTGGGGATGTGGCTCAGTGGTAAAGCACCCCTGGGTTCAATTCCCAGTACCAAAAAATAAAAAAGGACAGAAAAAAAGAAAAATGGTGGTCTCCATTAAGAGCTGACTTGGCGGGGTCGGGTGGGGAGTTGGTCAGGATATTCCTGTGGGGAAAAGTGGGAGGCTTCTGAGGTCCAGTCCAGGCTGCTCATTGCTTCTCAGCCTGACCGTTCATATTGGGATACCATAACAGAATAACAAATATACATTTAATGGGGATGAAAAGTGTTGTGAGATTAGGGAAGAGGAGGAACAGTAGTTTTTTTCTTTATTCAAATACATTTAAGGAAAGGGGGCTGGTCATGGTTATTTATACAACTGCCACTACATCCTGGATAACCCACAATGTGCCCCAAGACTCCACAGGCAGCACACCATTGTGCCCTGGGACACGCCTGAGGGAGCAGGGCCTCCCCAGACCCCACAAATGCCACAGGTGGATTGGAACAGCTGCCCGCTCCTCGGCTGTTCAGCTGAGTCACTGGGACTCCAGGCTGCTAGCACTATGGTCTCTGTCATCTTCCTGTAAGACAGGTGCAATGTTTTATCAGCTCTCTGCCTCCTTCTCATTTCCAGTGCAAATGCAAACCAAGAAAAGCAGGAGCTTTCAACGCCCAGGCAAATCAATGCTGCACAAATCGGGAGAGACAGCCTCCCAAAATCCAGGCAAGAAGTCCCTTCCATCCAAGTTATCAGGATAAAAGCCAACAGAAGCCTCTGAGGCCACCTCAGTCCATCCACCTCTCTCGGTTGATAAAGGGACAGGGCCCAGAAGAAGTGACTCACCTGAGGTCACAGAGTAAACAGAGACAAGAACCTGACTGACTGAATCTGATCTATTTGTGTCCACCTGAGGATCTCATGTAGAGGCAGCCACTGGCTACCCCCCCTCACCAGAGCACCCTTGTGCAGAAACAAGTAGCTACAGAAGCATGGACCAAGGTTTGGGATGAAAGCTAATGGCTAAAAGGACCAGCCCACAGCTTTCCCATCACACTCTGGTCAGACACAATTGACCAAGTGAGAAGGGCTCTGTGATGCCCCAGGGTCTCTGGATCACCAGCTCCTTCTAAGTGACCCAAGAGGTGATCTTGTTCTAGAACATTCCAGGCAAGGCAGGACCCCTCCCCAATTCCCTTGGAGAGAGTATGTCAGGGAGTACAGTTCCTGGTAGAGACAGAATGCAGGCTTTCCTCATTTAACCCATAAGTCCCATTCCACCCCCCTGAAAGAACACAAGCAAGTAAGGTCTTCTCTCCATCTTTTAAACCAGACAGCTGTTCTCAGCCATCCCTCAATCACCTGGGGGTATCATGTAACCCAATCCTTTGGCCCTTCAGTTTGGATATGCCCTGGCATGTCACTGCCCTCCAGGCTCGCTCTCACCAGACAGGGGAATTTGGGGAAAGGAGGTCACCCTCCTGCAGGATCTGATGTGATATGAAACACTCTCCCCTCTTCTCAGCTAAGACTGAAGCCCAGCTTCTATTTGCTCTCCCACCCCTCTTGGTGCGTTTGCCAACTCCATCTGTAGTTGTTGATGCCACCATCTAGAGACTGACACCCATGCATCAGGGCAGAAAGTGAAGTTAAAGGAATCGTCTTCCTTTTTGTTCAATCTGTCACATCAGAGCATTTCCGGTGTGGCAGGCCCTGTGCTAGGAGGCAGAGAGGAACCACATCCTCTATTTCCATCTTATAGGAAGACTGTGCACCCTCTTCCAGCAATGGGAAGAGTTGAGAAGCAAGCCCAACTCTGGAAAGCAAAGCAAGGGTGATGGAGGGCACAAATGGAAACGAGGGGACATCTGAGCCAGGCCTTGAAGGGTGAACAGGATTTCCCGGCAAACGAAAGTAGCAAGGCCAATCAGGAAGTGACTCCAAGAGCCTGGTAACAAGTGAGGAGGGTCTGGAATGGAAGGGCAACAGATGTGTTACCAGCTGGAATAAGTGACCAATTAGGTACAAGGACAAAAGAAAAGGGGGGCATTCCTAAGATGGTGGCCCATAGCCCATAAATGAAGAGAAAGGTGGCAGAACAGTCAAGAGTGAAGGTCGTGCTCCTGCCCAATTCTGCCACTAGCTGGGGGGGGGGTGACCCTGGACTTGTCACTTCCCCTCTTGGACCCCAATTTCCTCATCTACAGAAACAAGGAAGTCTCATTAGATTTTTTAAAAAATTTTATTTTTAGTTATAGATGGGCACAACATCTTTATTTTTTACTTTTGTCTGGTGCTGAGGATCGAACCCAGTGCCTCATGCATGGTAGGCGAGCGCTCTACCTCTGAGCCACAACCCCAGCCCCTCATTAGATATTTTCTAAAGTTTCTTCAGCTGTACTGTCTATGTCACTAAAGCACTACTGAGGCAAAAGTAGTCTGTGTAAGCACTTGCTATCATATCTCTCCTCATCAGGGCACCCCCAACCTGGCAGGCTCTAAATCCTTTGGCTCAGAGCCTCTGGGTAATCTGCTTTGCCTCATGGAAATAAAATCCCCTGAGGAGCACTCCTGTAATCCCAGCAGTTTAGGAGGCTGAGGCAGGAGGATCTGAAGTTCAAGGCCAGCCTTAGCAATTCAGGGAGACCTTGTCTCAAAATGAAATTAAAAAATAAAAAGGGCTGGGGGTGTGGCTCAGTGGTTAAGCACTCTAGGTTCAATTCCTGGTACCAATCAAAACAAAACAAAACAAAATCCCAAAGACAAGGATGATAGCTACTTTAAGACCTCCCAAAGGCCAGTCAGGTGTCCCCCAGCCACCGTGGTTAACTGGCACCAAAGAACCAAAGAGGAAAGCCACGCACTTTCTCTCACATGTACACAGGTACCTACCTTCAAGTGCACACAGTCCACCCCATGCCCGTCACCCCAGGTCACTGAGCTGACCAAGACACTGGAAACTGACCAAGGCAGTGAAAAGCCCATACACACACCATGAAATGACAAGGATTGATTCCAGACTGGCCTGCTCTCCACAGGAGCAAGTCTTTTTGAGGGCTGATCCTGTGCAGGGAAAAGTGCAGAGGCAGAGGCATGTGAATGTGCCTTGACCTCAACTGAAACAAAACCAAGGTGGAAAGGGAGTTGTGGGGGCAGATGGGTAGCCAGAACTCTGGGGCACCAAGTGCTAGGTACTGCCCTGGACCATAAGAATAATGGATACACCGGGCTGAGGAAGAGTGCTGGGCCTGCTAGTTGCTCTTGAGAAGTTGCCTAACCAATTGACCCTGAAAGTTTCCAAACTGCTTCCCGGGAGGATTCCAGGACTCTGCTCTAAGCAGCCCTTTGGAAGGCTGACTACATTCTAACAGCCTACCTATTCGTGCAGCTTGATAAGGAATTAATGCCAAAGTGGTCAATTCATTTTAATAAATTAAGGAACTTGCAGAGGCCCCAAGGAAGCCAAGGCAGAGGCCTGCAGTGGACTTTGGAGCTGACTGTAATTAGGCCCCTGCCCTACTTTCTAAAATTGCATTTCCCTGCCAGGGAGCCTACTCCAGGCCTCAGAAGAAAGTCAGTCCGAGGAGTCAAGAAGGTGCTGTTCATGGCGAGGGCATCTCTAAAAACAGCTCTACCACCTGAGAAGTTGTATCCCTGCCCTTGGCCTTAGCTTACTGGGCTAATTCCTGCCACCACAGCTGCCCAGACTGGCATAAGCACCACAGACCCCCCCTTCTGCAGAGCCCAAGAGAAAGGCCCTGCTCTCTGGAGGCAACAGGTGCTGAGAAACAAGGAATGCAAAGGATCACCAGCAACCCACCAGCCTTTCAAAGTCAAGCTGGTAGGGGCCAATAATGTTAGAGGTGTTGAGACCTGTCTGTGTTCTCAGTAATGGTGGCCACAGAGGTGGGTGGGGGGATCCCAGCCCCCAGTCAGAAGCCCCGTGCCAAGCCTCACTCCCCTCGTCACTCCTTCTACACACTGCCAGCTTCCTACCCCCAGAGCAAGGAGGTGATGGGGGCCAACCAAAGAAACAGCAGCCTGGCTGTGCCTTGTAGCCCATCCTTGAAGTTGACGGGAAGTTCTGGGACCACCAGAGCCTGGGGAGTATGGACCCCAGTGAAGGGGAGGAGTGGGCAGACTCAGCACTGCAAGATGCACCTCCCTCTGCTGTTGGAGGCACTTCCTGAAGGCCACTGCAGCTGCAGGGGCTCTCTTCTCCAGCTCTCATCTGGGACTGCATCCACAAACCTGCAAGACCGCTCACCTTTCCTTCAGGGCAAGACGAGGGCTAGGAGCAGTCAGTGGGCAAGTTGGGCCCACCCTTGTGCTAGGCGAGCCGAAACGGGCCAAGAGGCTTCCACAGGGGAAGGATGCGACAAAGCTGTGGTGGAAAGCAGCAGGCTTTCCGCCCCAGAGACCAGGCAAGGAAGGCTTCCAGGCAAGGGACAACATGTGGCTCCCACGAGGGAGGGGGCAGAGGCCACCGGTGCATCAGTCATGCCTGCAGATAAAGGCGCCTCTCAACTAACAAGGTTTTGGGGGAGACAGAGGGAGGGGCATAATCACTGCCTCGATCTCACAGAAGAGGGGAGGCACAGGGCTACCTGGTGAGGGAAAATGGATCCACCTCATCAACTGCAGCGCACCAGTTTAGGAAAAGAGGCTATTTGCGGAGAATAAAATACTGCAGAACTAAATGCCAAAAAGGGGAGGTGACACAGCCACGGTTCTATTGGTCCCCAAGGCCCCAGCGGCATTACCCAGGAGGCGGTGTCCAGCACAGCTCGCAACCCCCCCCCCCCCCGCTGGATTAGGCTCCTGAAACTCTGCCCCTCAAGAGCGCTTCCCTCCGGCTCTCCAGAGACAGAACGGATCCATAATCCAAAAATTGTCATTTCTCCTGAATGGGCATAGACATTAGGGATGAGGAAGAGCGGAGCGACCAAGAGAGCGGGGAGGACTCTGGCTGCGCCAAGGGGACACCTCCGCCCGCCATCCAGCCGGCGGGGGTAAGGGCGTACGTCTGAAGTCACCATCGGTGGCGGCACCACCTCCCCCTCACCAGTTGACTACAGGGTTTCTCCCAAGTAACGAAAAAGCAACCCTCAAACGCAGGAAAGTCCGGGGGTGTAAGAACAGGGGGAAGACGAGGGAAACGAAGAGAAGGCAGGTAGTGCAAAGGAGAGAAGAAAGCACATCAGCGAAGGAGACGGAAAGATGGGACGGATGGGAGAGAGAGGAGGGAAAGGAAGACGGAGGAGGGAAGGGAGGAGGGCAAAAAATGGGGAGGGAGGGAAGAGGATGGTGAGGGAGGAGATGGAAGGAGGGAGGAAAGAGGAGGGAGAGGAGATGGAGGGAAAGATTCGAAGACCCAGCGGGCTTTGCACTCACCCGTGTTGTACACGTGCAGTTCGTCCACTATCCCTTCGTTGCCGCCACCAAACACCACGATGAGCTCCTTGATGGCCACGGCGCGGTGGCCGTGGCGGGGTCGGGGCACCGGACCCGACCAGCCCACCACTCGCTTCCAGCGGGGTTGCAGAAGCACCGCTGGCGAGTTGGCGGGCGACACGGCCGAAGCCATAGTTCCAAGAAAGGGTGCGGTGGGAAGAAATCACCAGGCGGGAAGGGAACCCCTCAATTCCTCTCACACACCCCCCCTTTCGCCTAAGGCAGTTCTCACGGAGAAGCGGTTCCTCACACAGCGGTGGACGACTCCATGGAGGCCGCCATCTTAACTACCCTCCTTCCCTTTGGCTCTTCCCCTTCTTCTCGCTCGCCCCGTCTCCCCAAGAGCTTCCCGAAACTGTCAACTACCTAAGCCCGAGAAGCTGGTGGCCGTCGAGTTCTGCCGCCCTGACTATTTGTTCGGGTGCTCCCGCTTACAAGCTCGGGCGGGAGGCCCTGGGAGCCGCCATCTTGAGCCGCCTCTCTCTCCTCCCTTCCTCAGTCGTAGCCCTCCCCCGCCGGAAATGGCGGAACCCCGGCCCGGTTCCCACACCCCCAAGTCCCCAGCACTGGCCGGCTTCCGGGGCGGGTGGAAAGGAGCCACAAGCGCCGCGGTCGTCTCAGCCCCGCCGGCGCTCAGACCACAATTGTGGGAGCCGCCATCTTGAGACTGTCCCGCTTCCCCGCCTAGCACTTAGTACAGCTGCCGCTCCCGAAACACCCCCGATTCTCCTAAGGAATGGAGTCACGCCGGAGGCCAGTGGAACCAGCTCGAACTCTCCGGGGCGGCTCCGAGGCCCGCACCGTACGGCTCGTGAGGTCTCGCACCTCTCTGTTGAGTCCGCCTCCGCTGCTCAGGCTGCGCCTGCCGCCCTGGGAGCCGCCATCTTGAGACTAGCTCCCCCTTCCCCCCTATTCTCTTCCTCCTTGGTCAGTTCTTCTACTGCAGACCAAACGCAAAGCAGCGTCCAATCCTCGCTTCCCTCCTTATGACTCCTTCCCACAGGAGCCGCTCCAAAGAGCCAGAGTTAGGCCCCGAAGTGGCAACTGTACGGCAGGAGGAGCGGTAACGGCAGGGCGCTCATGCCTCCTCCCTGGGAGCCGCCATCTTGTGTAAAGAAGTAACAACTAAACATGGCGGCGGCGGTCGGGCGAGGGGGTGGAGTCTGGCGACGTCACCACTCCCCCGCCCTCACACGGCTTCGCCTCTGGGCTCAAGCCTCTTAAAGGATCCCTGCGCTGCCCTGCGGCGGGAAGTGGGGATTGGTGCCGCTGTGCATTCGGCTAGGGCTCTAGCCTCGCTTGGGTTAGTTGCAGACTCATCCCACCCCACGGCTCCCCGTGAGCGCGCCTCCACGCCTCCGCCCTGGGAGCCGCCATCTTGCCACTTCCCCTAGCCCGGCCGTCCCCGGGCGTCAATAGCGACTTTCAGCACAAAACAAAGATGGCGGCGGCATCTGGAGATGCCCGGATGAGAATGGTAACTCCCTCAGACTCGCTGGGCCCCGCCCCTCTTGGGAACTGTCTCCCGGGTCGCAGAAGGGACATGTGCCCGAGGAGTTGCCTTACACAAGCAGGGGGAGGGTCGTGAAGAGAAACCAGTGCAGTGGTGCCTCCAACCGAGGAACAACCATTTTCCCGCCCCGCACTGTCGTAGGAGGCGGCTCGAGACCGGCCACCGAGGGAGCCGACGGGGCGGGGCAAGAGTGGGCGGTTACACGGCTGAGAGCCCGGCGCCCAGGGGCGGAGCCGCCGCCAGCTCCCAGGCTCCCAGGCCCGTCAGCTCCGCCCCCGGGCGCCACCACCTCCTCCCGCGCCCAAGCGAAGAGCCGAGCCGCGCGCCCGGGGGCGCCTTGCGTCGGGCCGCCCCCACCGTTCCTCCTTTGCCCCGCCAGCCACAGGGTGGGCAAACGGGCTGGCTGCGTCCGAACCAGGCGGGCGGGAGTTGCCTGCGTCATTCGCGTCACCTCACGTCACCCCGCCCCGCCTGCTTCCCAGGGCTCTGAGCCCCGCCCCTTGCGCAGGCGCGCGGCAGCTTTCGGGTCCGCCCTTTTTCGAGATTTGAATTTCCCCCAGCGAAGCGAGGGACGCAAAATACCCGGATGGTGTTTGCTGGACTTTTCGCGCCAATACCGTAAATTCTCACAACAACTTTGAGAGCTGGGTACCGGCATCGCCCGCCCGTTCCAGATTTCCCAGGAGGCGCCCTGGGGGCTTCAGCGTCATCATACTCATTGCCTCTCGCAGGCTCTAACGCAAGGGTCCTGAACCCTGGTGTCCTGAACTTTGGAGCCAGACACATGATGATTTCTTCACTTTAGCATATCTTCATTTTAACTTCTTTTTAATATTCTTTTAAAAATTTTTTTAGTTGTTCATAGACCTTTATTTTATTCATATATTTATACGTGGTGCTGAGGATTGAACTCAGTGCCCCACACATGCTAGGCAAGCGCTCTATCACTGAGCCACAACCCCAGCCCCTTCATTTTATCTTTATTTTCACTAACCTGTAGTAGAAATTTGACATTTTCCGAAATTACAGATACAGGCAGCAGTGCAGAGTAGCAGCCATATCTGTGACTTGAAGGAAATTGCACATCATTTCAGATCCTATAGCCGTTTTGTAGAGGTCCAGAAGTTAAGTAATTTCAAGATTTATCAACAGACTAACTCTGAAGTTACTATATTAGCTTCTGGTAGATCTTGTAATTTAATGTGCTAGTAAAGAAGCACCTATATTACCATATCACACTTTTTCCAAAATATTGTAATGATCCTCTTTTGACAAATAATTTGGCAGTTCTATTATAGTTTATGCAGTTGAAAGCACTCATTTAAGAAACTCCAAGGTATAATCCATTTATGTATGATGTGTCAATATGCATTCTATTGTCATGTATAACTAATTAGAACAAATTGTATATATATATATATATATATATATAAATGAAAGTCCAAAGATGCCAGGCACAGTGACTCACACCTGTAATCCCAGCAACTCAGGAGACTGAGGCAGGAGGATTGCAAGTTTAAAACCAGCCTCAGCAATTTAGAGAGGCCCTAAGGAACTCAGCAAGACCGTATCCCAAAATAAAATGCTTTTTTTTTTTTTAAAAAAAAAAAAAACTGGGACTGTGGCATGACCCTGGATTGATTCACAGTAACCAAAGGAAAAAAAGTTCAGAGCCAGAACTGTTATGTACCCCTGTAATCCCAGCAACTCTGGAAGCTGAAGAAGGAAGACCACAAGTTTGAGGCCAGCCTCAGCAATTTAGCAAGACCCTGACTCAAAACAAAAAAATAACAAAAGGACTGGGGATGTAGCTCAGTGGTAGACTATCCTTGGGTTCAATCCCCAGTACTCACCCCCTAGCCCCCCCCCCCCCCAAAAAAAAAAAAAAAAGTCTAAAGAGGTCTAAGGCACAGCAAAAGAGAAAAGCCCACACTTAAGTGACTTTGTTACCAACTGTTCTCTATGACATTGGGCAGTTTGCCTCACCTCTCTGGTTTCAGTCCCTTCCCTAGTAAAATAAAGAAGTTTGAGCTGTTGATCCAAGGGCCTTCCCTAAATTCAGCATGTTTCTTTTCCAAATTCAGGAACCACTATAGTTGTTCTGTGCTGTTTAGGCTTCTCAAGTTGTCCTGCAGGGTGTTTTAAATTATATCCCCTTATCTGCAGAAAGATAGCAAGGAGTGTCTTGGGGGCACAACAAATAGTTTTTGGAAATGCAAGCAAAGAAACAGTAGTGGCTTCTTTATCTTGTTTCTTTGCTTGGAGATGGCATCAGCTGCTGCTTAAGTGCATACAGCCACCGAAGCAGGAGGGTCTATGGATCACATGTTTTATGGAAGAAAACCTTTGGCTGGGAGATTGTCACACTTTGCAGGTATTTCCAAAAGACCCCTGGCCCAGGGCCAGGGATGTAGTTCAGTAGTAGAGTGCTTGCCTGGAATGCATGAGGCCCTGGGTTCAAACTCCAGCACCATACACACAAAAGAAAGATACCAAAAACCTAAGGTCCGAATGCTGTTGAGCCTTCAGCCTTCTTCTGCCAGTTGCCAGGGGAAACTATGATGAGCTGTGTATGGTAGAACAAGGCCATGCGCTTCAGGGTTATACCATAAAGTAACCAGCCTGGTTTTCCTGTGGAGCTTGGGCAGTTGCTATGATTACATGTCACTTTCGGCTTGGACTCAGGTGGACTCCGCCCGTATACGAAGAAAGAAGAGTTGCTTTCCACACCCTTCCTGGATTTCCTTCGTTATTAAATTGACAGTATTCGACTCCTGTCCCCAGCCTGCCACCTGGCTTGTTGAAAGACAGGAAAATCTGACTAGTTCATGCATCATGGGGCTCCAGATGGGTGCAGGGAGGGACCCAGAGACACCAGGCAGCTCCTCTGCTAGTGTCCCAAGAGTGGAATGGGGGAAGTGACAAGGAGGAAATGACAGCCAGGTTGAGAGTATAAGCAGGCCAGGAGCATTGGCCAGGTGCAGAGGGCACAGGGCTTCCAGACCTACAAAGTCTTGTTCTGGCTGGAAGACAGAGCTGGCCCTGAGGGACTTGCAGGACTAGATGCAGATGGCACTTTAAGTCTGGCCTAGAGGTTGGACATGATTGTGGGGAGCCAGTCACTGAAGGGTATTAAGCAGGGACAGACATGATCCAATCCAGGAGTACTTGAGGATGATGTGTACAGACCACGTTAGCAGTGGCTTGGGGGTCAGAAGTCCAGAATAGGTGGCCTCCAGACCTGGAGTCTCCTAGGCTGGAGAGGAGGGGACAGGATGAGTCTGGGATACCCCACACTGAGATGGGAAGCTTGTGTGATGAAAGAGGCAGATTCAAGCTAATGGCTTCAGTTCCCTGGTGGGAGTTTGAAAGGGCAGTGGGACATGGGACACCCCATGCCGGACCTGGTAGTCCTCCTTAGCATCAGATCCCCAAGGGAAGAAAGCTCAGCATCCACATGGGCCCCCAGGTCCTATTGTAGAAATGAAAGAGCAAATAGGACTGGTAAGAAAGAGCAAAGCTTTGTACTTTAATATAACTGAATAAAACTGAGCAGGTTTGGGACGGAAGCACCAGAGGAAGAGCAAAGTGTTTGAGCCTTGCCTCACTATTTTGGGTATCCTTGCCTCAACTGCAGGGAGGAAGATGGATATTGTACCTCAAAAATATATGCTACTGCTGGGTGGTGCACACCTATAATCTCAGCAACTTGGGAGGCTGAGGCAGGAGTATTGCAAATTCAAGGCCATACTCAGCAACTTAGACTCTAATCAACTTAGCAAGACGCTATCTCAAAATAAATAACAACAACAACAACAACTGGGGATGTACCTCAGTGGTAAAGTGCCCCTGGGTTCAATCCCCAGTACCAAGCCCTCCCCAAATACATTGTACTAAGTGATCTACAAATACAAGAACTCATTCTGGCACTGGAAGTGTAGCCCAATGACAGAGTGCTTACCTAGCATGCACGAGGCCCCAGGTTCCATCCCCAGCACAAAAACAACACAAAACAAAAACTCACTTCATCTACACAACCACCATGCAGGGAAGGTACTTTCCCACTTCTCCAGTTCACAGGTGAGCAAACTGAGACCCAGAATGGTTCTGACCCAAGGTCACATGGCTAGTGAGTGAAGGTGCCAGGGCTAGAAGGCAGACAGTCTGGCATAGGTACCAGGAACTTGAGGCCCTGTCTTGTCTCTCCTTTGTGTCTGCTTTCTTGGCTCTGAGTCATGCTCAGAGCATTGAACCTCTTTTCCCTACAATATTAGTCCATTTCTTTTGACTAGGCTAACTCACACTACAGCTGCTCCAAAGCACTTGGCAGCCAGTGACAGTTAAGTTTTTCTGGCTCCATCACTGCAAGGAATTGGAAGATTTTGTCATAGGTGAAGGAAACAAGGTGATTTGCAGTGTAGCATTTCAGGAGGGGCAGGAGGGAAAACCCTCGTCTTCCTCTAGCTCTGTGCCCTAGAATCTAGAACTTGGACAGCATCTGATGGTCTCTAATTCATCTAGGTGTTTGGTTAACAAGGCTTTTGGGCTGACCTGGAAACTTCCACATTTATAACC